GGGAATAAGTGCGTTTGAGATGGCTAGGTTGGCACAGGATAGAACAGCATTTAGAGCTCTTGTACATAGGGTCGCTATGAGTCGCAGGTGACTCGATGGCACATAACAACAGGGAAAAAGTTTTTGTTTTCTTAGCAGTCCATGGTATTTTCAACATTCTTATCCAGCACCCCTCAAAGGCATTGATTCTTCTGCTGTCATCTTTAGTCATTGGCTAGCTCTCTGATGCATGCCAAGTAATTGTGAAGACCATGGCTTGGATCAAGCACACCTTAGTCTCTAGACTGACATCATTGCTCTTAAGCTCTCTGGAGAGATCCCTGACAACAGATTTTCCCAGTAGATTTCCTAACTGCTAATGCCAAGGGTATTAATTGTGGAGCTGAGAAGGCTGAAATTGTTAAATATCTCAGTCTCTTCTTCATCTATCATAGTGCTTCAGTGGTGAGAATCTTTGTCTTCTTGATATTGAGCTTCAATCCATATTGAAGGCTACAGTCCTTGACCTACAGCAAATATGTCAGGTCCTCCTCAGTTTGACCATGCAAGGTTGTGTCATCTGCATAATGTAGGTTATCAGTCTTTCTGCAATCCTAATGCCATCATCCTCATAAACCCACCCTTCCAAATGATCTGGTCCTCATATAGAGTGAAAAAGTATGGAGACAGGACGCATCCCTGACAGACTCCTTTCCTGATTTTGAATCATGCAGTGTTTGCTTGCTCTGTTCTGACAACTACTTCCTGGTCCAAATATAGACTTCACATAAGCACAATCAAGTGTTCAGGGATTCCCATTTCTTTTCAAAGTTAACCACAGTTTGTTGTGATTCACACAAATTCAATCAAATGCCTTTGCATAGTCAATGAAACAGACATTCCTCTGGTCCTCCCTGCTTTCAGCCAAGATCCATCTGACCTTGGCTGTGATTCTTTTCCCTCCTTCCTTCCTTTTCTCTCACTCTCTTTCCTCCCATTTTTTCTCTTCTATTGCGCTTGTCATGTTTGATGCTTCTACTTCAAATAGGCTGATATGTTACTTTAATAGACTTGATGTTTCCATTTTTAAATGTTCCCCAGTATGATCTGTCAGGGAGTTAAGGGAGCCAGAGCAACAATTAGGATAGCAGTCCTTCCGTGTGTGAGCTGCAGACAGGGATTTCTCCAAATTACTGAGGAAGAGCAGTAATATTAATTTGAGGACTAAGGTACTCTTGGTTCAGACCGTGGTCTTTTCAGTCACTTGCTATGATGCTGAAATCTGGACATTGAATAAGGGTGACAGAAGAAAAATTGATGCCTTTGAACTGTGGTGTTGGAGGCAAGTACTGAATATCCTGTGGACCGTCGAAAGAACAAACAGATCTATCTTAGAAAAGGGGCACCCAGAGTGTTCCTTGGAGGCAAAGATGGCGAAGCTTCGTCTCGCACACTTTGGGCATGTTGCTAGGAGAGGTTATTTCTTGGAGAAGGACATCATTCTTGGAAAGATGTAGGGATGGCGAAGGAGAGGAAAACCCTCAATAAGATGGATTGACACAGTGATCCTGCAGTGGGCTTGAGCGTGTCAGAGATGGTGAGGATGTTAATCACAGGAGAGGACCGAGTTCAGATCTTTTATTCAGAGGGTCCCTATGAGTTGTACTTCTCGGCAGCAGCTAGCAACAACATGTGTCAACGGGAGGACTTTCCACTGATCACTTATACTCAGGGTTCTGTTCCCTTCTCTTGGGGTGGGAGGAGATTATGGTTATTTCTCCCCCACCTAACTCAGTCAGGGATGAAGGAAAGAACCATGAAATGCAAGTATTTATGATCAGTCATGTTCTGATTTTGTGAGCAGTATCCTTTCTACACATTTTCCAGTATTTGAACACTGAAGACATTTAGAGTGTGCCCTGTGTACATGTATATTTGAAAAAAGTGCTGATTTACAAGAACTTGTAAGACATTTATAACTAAGTGCCAACTTCAGTTTGTCTGATTTCTTCTATTTTTATTTGCGTTAAAGTTTACCAAACAACTTGATTTTCCATTCAATCATTCATATGCATTTGTGTTTTGTTTGTAATGTTAATCACAGTACCCACTGTGTGACCTCACCACCTTTGTCTTGTTTTACTTTTTCCACTTAAATAGAGTGGTGTTTTAACCATTAAGCTTGGTGGAGACCTGGGAACCTATGTGATCAACAAGCAGACCCCAAACAAGCAAATCTGGTTATCATCACCTTCCAGGTATGTGCACAAGCTGAAAGCTGCTGTCATTAGATTTGTTGGAAATGTGACAGTGTCAGTTGGTGACGGTGTAAAGGATCCTTTCTCAGTGTCTTACAGCATATATTATTCAAAGTTGTTGTTGTTGTTGTTGTGTACCATCAAGTTGGAACTGACTCATGAGTGACCCTCCAGTGGGTTTTCAGAGGCACTAAATCACACAAGAAGGAATTGTCTGTGCAATGAATAAATATTTTTTTAAAAAAGGCAACTGAGGAAAGAAGGAGGGAGAGGGGGTAAAATATGTAACAATGAATGAATGAAAATATAATTTCTCTGTAAACATTCATTGATATCACAAACTAAAATTTTATTTAAAAAAACAAAAAAAAAAAAAAAAAAAGAAGGAATTGTCCATCTTTCTACCTTGGAACAGCTGGTGGATTTGAACCTCAAACCTTTGGGCTGACTGCACAACTCTACCACTAAGTCACCAGAGCTCCTTTCATTCACAGCAGCGTTGTTTATTCTGGCCATATAGCTTTTCTTGCTGATAATTTGGCTTCTGTCAGCAATATCAGGTTGTTTAACATCTGAGGTGAAAAGTTTAAAATGCTTCAGAATCCAACCAGGACATTTTCTCTATTGAATCATTGCCTTGCCTTTAATGAAAGGTTCTTCTGTACTTTATCCTTCAAATCAACTTAAAATTTGACCTGTGGTTTGTTTTGAGCATCTCAGCTAAAGGTTAGATGGATTCCTGAATTGGGCTGGGTGGCCCCTGGAGTGAACAGGCATTTTAAACTGTTGCTCCAGGGCGTGTAACGCCAGCTTCTCTGTTGAAGTGCTTTCAAATAAAAGGTTGTGTTGGACCCTGGCCTGTGCCTTGTCTCCAGGCCTGAGAAGATGCAGGGGAGGCGGCTGCTGTTGAAGTGTTTTATAAGAAACTCAGACTCTGTGCAGATTGTCCAGAGCCATCGTTAGCATTCCCAAAGGAGTTCACTGACAGGATTAGGAAATCCAGAGAGCCAGGGGATCTTTCAAAGCCTCATGATATTTGCATTTTGTTTTAAAACATTACCTTTCCCCTGCCCATATGTTGACCTCATTTTAGATAATGAATTTTCTCCTGTTTACCATGCTGTGATATGTCATATTTTGCTCATAATAAATCAAATGTTCTACCTTCTAACCCAGCCTCAAATAGACAGTCCAGAAAAACAGTGGAACTTACTCAGGCTCTCTAGAAGGCCCTTGTGCTCTGATGGCATCACTTTGTATACCCTGTTCGATTCTCAGCCAACGCATCTCATACACAGCCAGTTTTCGTCTGTCATTGGAGGCGAGCGTATTACCTCTCACCAGAGCTTTCAGGTTAAGATGCATTAGAAATAAATGCCTGGAGATATACTTATAAAAATTAACCAGCAAAAACCCCCTGTAGGTCACAGTGGATCCACACTCAGACTCATGGGGAAATGGGGCAGTGTGATGTCCCCATGAACCTGGGCAACTCGACGGCAGCTCACAGCAGTTACTGGAATAATAAACTGGCAAATCCCTCCAACACTGTACGTACTTTGTTTTACTCTAGAGTTCACCCTGAGGATTTAGAAATAGTCATCTGAGCACTTTCTACCACAAATGCTGTTTCCCTCAAATGGTTTTTTAAACTTTCTTATTCTCCGAAAGTTTGATATCCCCCCTCCCCACTGCCCTGCCCTTTAGTCCAAAATAACTTCCACAGAAGTGCAGTTCTGGAGTTTTGGCTGATATTTTTTCAGGTCATATGGCAACAGTACTTTTTTTTGCCCACCCCAAGAAGATTCTAGAATTGAATAAAGACAAGGCCTGGGCAGATACCTGGGCAAGCAGTGCCTTTTCACAAGGCCCTGTTGTAGTGTGTGTGGCAGGGCTTGGCGAGCCCCTGGCCTCTGCTGAGAAGCTTAGTAGTAAAGGTAGACAGAGGCCACAGAAATATCCTCGGATCTGATGGAGCTTGTTCTTCCCTTTCACATGTCTTGACATAGTTTGTGTTTGGCTGTTTGTGTACATTAAACAAAAGTTCCAATGTGTTTCTTTTTCCCTTTTATCTCTATTATTGGGAAAGTGTAGGGAGCTCTGGTGACCTAGTGGTAAGAAGCTACACGACATGCTGCTCGAATCCACCAGTTGCTCCTTGGGAGAAGGATGGGCATTCTCCCATGTGATTTACTGCCCCTGAAAACCCACTGGAGGGTCGGCTATGAGTCATTCCAATTCAGTGGCACACAACAACATTAACAATGGGAAAGTGTGATAAAGTAAAGTAAGTCTTCCTGGAACCTCAGAATGTGATCTTATTTGGAAAGAAGATAGTTAAGTTGAGATCATCCTGGATTTAAGGTAGCCCCAAGGTCCTAAATCCAAGTACAGATGTCTTTTTTACGAGAAAAGAGAAGGGGCGTGGGCAACACAGGGAGAGGGCCAGGTGTGCAGAGCAGAACAACTGGCAGATTTGAGCCACTGACTGTTTTGGTCTGCAGTGCAGCATACGATGTCCTCAGGTCTTCTTATAAACTCTAAGTGTTCTTAAATAGAAGACCTTGAGATAAGACACCAGCCCTACGCCTCATCAAGCATTACTGTCCAGAACATCACTGCAGGCAGTTTCTAGGCGGCGCTCTTGAGGACAGGGTGTGTGCCTCTCCTCACAGCTGTCCTGGTGAACTCACTCTGTGCTTTGTTTTCCAGCGGACCCAAGCGTTATGACTGGACTGGAAAAAACTGGGTGTACTCCCACGATGGCGTATCCCTCCACCAGCTGCTGGCCACAGAGCTTTCCAAAGCTTTAAACACCAAACTGGACTTGTCTTCCCTGGCCTATTCTGGCAAAAGTGCTTGATGCCCAGCTCCGTGTGAAAGACATTAAAGGTGATACATGCAAGACCACAGCTCTGTTCCACCGCTGAGTGTGTCTTCTTTTCCTTTCCTGCCTTTGAGGACAGGAACATTATGTGTGACAGCTCCAAAGTCAACATGCATGTCCCACTCCATCCCAAGTACTGGGTTTTTTCTTCATTCTTCTGCCCCCACTGAGCTCTATCTTTTAAATGTCTATAAACACATACTTCGGTGAATAACCTTACAACAGAGGAAAATAATAAGAAAATTCTAGAAGGAGAAAATGAATTGGCTTTCCTCTTTGAAGAAGTTGTTGGCAAAAATGACATGAAGAACACCTGGGCAACCTCACCATTCTTTCTCAAAATGAGACTTTGACAAGGATAATTGTGTTCCCATACCTGTTTGTAGGAAGTTCTGGTGGCCCGATGATAAGAAGCTGCACTGCAATCCCAAAGGCACTTGACTGGAAACCACCAGCTGCTCCATGGGTGAAGGATGGGCAGTCTCCTCCTGTGCGATTTACTGCCTCTGAAAACCCACTGGAGGGTCAGTGATGGGTTGGTTCTGACTCCAGGGCAAACGACAGCATACCTGTTTGAAAGGGGAAGCCCTTCTGGGGCATTGAAAATTGAAGCATCAGAAGCAACTTGGGACTTCTCAAACTGAACACCATCTTCAGTCCTCACATTGTGACTCGGAAAGGGTGTGGGCTGCCCCAGGGGGCTCAGGGAGACTTACTTGGTGGGGCTACTTTCCTATAGGTGTATAATTGTACAAACCCACCATACACATCAAGGTTTGTCATAGAATCAATTGCTAAAACACTAGAGTCTGAGACCACCACACACAAATTCCAAGATAAGAAGGAGAGGAAGCCATCTCCAGAAATAAGGGATAAAGCTGTAATATGTAATAGACAAGGTCAGGCCAGGTTGCTGAGGAGGTGTTTTTTTAGTCTGTGAAGAACTGCCTAAAGAAAGGCAAGTTTGTATTGGTGGAAACCTTAGTCCTAGACAGCTCAGCCCAAAGTATTCTGGGCAAGTTCCTTAAACCCACTGAACCCTCATTTCCCCCTTGCTAAGTGGGAGACTTGAACTGGATAAAATAATTGACTCCCATTCACACCTCAGTGGCCCTGCCAGGCAGCCACCCAGGCTAGCTTTCATTTCTCTGGGTAGATGAGAGAACTGACATCTAGATAGTAAATATACAATCATTTATTAGGATTTTGATTGAATTTATGTTAATAATAACCACTATAATGTGATAAAACCTGCTATGCCACATAACATTGCTGTAATCTTTACTGATTTGCATTTTACATATGAAGAAACCAAATCTCAGGAACATTAAAACAGCCCACCTAAAGTTATGCTCATCTTCTGCTATTTCCTTACAGAAAAAGAGTACAAGTGGCAAGTCTGTGAACATTCAGGAAAAACTTTCGCAGTGGGTGAACCCACAACACATTCCATTCTAGAAGAAAGAAAACAATAGAATGCTACAAGTGAGTGCTTCATGCGCACTTCAAACATTTCCTTTCCTCAGAAATAAAA